GTTATTCCTTTTGCAATAATATTTTGACGTTAAAAAGAATAATTTCTAAAATAAATTAAATATGTATATAAAAAAAAAATCTAAAATATCTCAAATACTGATTTGTAAATATTTAAACATTCAGTACCATGGAAGAATATAATTTTAGTATTTACATATTCATTTTGCAATTGATTACACAAATTTAAAATAAATAGAAATTTATTCTAAAATTTTTATGTCTTTTGAAATTTATAACGGCTGGATTCACTATTCATATAGCTCATATAGTTAAATATAAATATAAAAATTAACTATTCTTGGCTTAACTATTCTCAAATATTCATATATTAAACGATTTAAAAATGTAGTCTCCGAAAAAAGTTTTTCAATTTATTTGTCAGCAAAATAATTTAATAATTCAATTTTTTTATTATAGTGACTTATTCATATAATCAAATTACATGAATGTTTTTCTCGCTTATCTTAACACTTGTGAAAAATTATTATAACTTTTGATTTTCTTTAAAATATACTTTATAAGCAAAAAAAGGCCAGAAATGTAAATATATGTTATAAATTTTATGTAATATTCTCAATTTTTTTTATGAAGAGCATGTTGATATTTATATAAATATTTTACTATAAAAATATAAAATGTTTTTCGTACATTTATAAATTAAAAATTTATTATTTCTGCATGAATAAGGCGTGTTTAAAAATTTACAGCTATTCACATCAAATATAAAAATATATAAATTTTTAATAAAATAAATAAATTATTATAGTAATTTTATTTTATCACTTTTTTTCACTAAAATATAATTTATGAATTTTTTTATATACTAAAAAGTATTTGAAAATAAATTTTTAAAAATGCGTTGATATTAGAAATAAAAGAATTTTTGAAAATGTCTAAATACGATTTTCTCTCAGATTTGCATAATAATTTGTGCATGGCATTATGACTTTTAATTATATATATTTTTATTATATATGTGATATTTTTTATGTACAGGTATTTTTAAGTTCTACACTATTTATTTATAACATGATAACTATTTAGTTTCAAATTATTTTTTTTCCAGTATATATTATTATATTATTTTTTACCAGTATTATATTATATTTAATATTATTTAAAATACTCCATTTTATGTATACGAAAGTATTCAAATGCAACAAACGCTATTATTTTTTCTAAATTTTTATTTATACGTAATTTTTTTTATTTTTACTATTTATTTTGTTATATAGTTTATATTTAAAAAGTTTATTTTTAATTATTAGGTAATGATGGAAATGATAATAATATGTAATAAGTTGTTATTCCTCAAAACAATGTCTAAAATTTTAATTCCAGCAAAGTTTTATAAGTCAGTTAAAAGTTAAAAATCAATAAAACATTGCTTCTTGCTCATGAATATAAATTAAAACTACTTTTTAATTAGGTTTATTATATTATAAAACTATAATATATAGATTATATGTAATATAAGGCAAAGTTTAGAAAATTTATAATTATCATTTTCTATAAAAATTTTAATTTATGCACTTTTTATGTAAATATTTCTTGCAAAATTCAAAAATAAAATTTATAAAAGTTGTACTTTTTCATTTTGAATTTATAAAGATTTATTATTCACAAAGATCTAGCAAAAGATTCAGCAAACTATCTTAACTAAGTAGCTAAGATCCAGCAAAATATCTTTGCTTTATTGTAATCTGCATATATTATATTTTCAATTATTATTATATTTTATTTCCGAAATATAGCATATCATAGTAACAAATAATGTCATATGAAATCATTAAATATTTATTTTATTTGACTCCCAAAATAAAATTTAATTTTGTTATTTTAGCTTGTATAAAGGATTGCATCATAGCGTTTCTGGACAGGAGGGTTTCATTCAAAATTTGGCAAATGATACCGAAACAAAAGATTTCATATCCTTACTGAGGATAGGCCTGATCCGAATGATTTTTGGGGGTGGGTGCGAACACCCAGATGGCATCTTTATGGCGGTTCATTCAAAATTGCGACAGCTTCCGATGTGTACAGTGGTTTGGAATCCACTTTAAGCCGTAGGTCCCGGTCTCCTATGACCGTGGAGCGTCAAAGAGCCCAATCACCAACATCATTCCCAAACTGTATAGGGCAACTCAGCTCTAGGCACAGTAATGTGGTGAGGTGTAGTAGTAGTAGTAGATGTGTGCTGCGTATCAGGCTCTTCAACCATATGCTCATGTTTATGATGTGTTTTTCGGAGATGGGAAGACCTAGTAATTTAGTTATGGATTTCAAAGATACTCTTATTGTATAGAATCCAAAGGGCATAGCCGGCCCTTGAATAGAGGTTTTAAGTCTGTACTGCTTTTATGCCCTATTTTTGGATCTTCCGCCCAATATGCTGACTAGAGGTAAGCCAATCATGAATTAATGACGTATTCCCAATCAAATTCAATTATCTTTTACATGCAAAGAATAGAACAACGGATTCGTAAGAGAAAAAGTCTTTCCTTTTGACTTCAAAGAAATTTAAAGAAGTTTAGAAATATTTCCAAAATACTACCTCTTGGAGCTGTGTTCCAAATTGTGGGGGTCACAATGCAAATATAATGAAGCATGCTTTTCAGTGGTCTAACTTGTGTAATGCTATATCTGCTATGTATCTGCCGTTTAGTAGTGAATGACTTCAATCAAACTACCCTAGTTTTTTAAATAACAGCAACATTTTGGAGAGTATGCTTTTTATTATTAATATTCATAAATTTGAAATTTAATTTATGAAAAAAAAAATTTTTTCATTTTATCTAATACGTTATTTCAAGCAAGTATTGATAAATTGTTATTTGTTTTAAACAATTAAAATAAACCATGAAAAAGATGGAATTCCGTAGAACGTGTTATGTATATTGCTAATTACTTAATAGCTTGCTAATTTTTAATTACTAAGTATCTTAACAACTATACACTTCACTATATATTCTTTATAAAGTGACTATATAGTAAGAAGCATTTTTTAGTAATTAAACTTGTAGGAATTTTTTTCTGTCATAAGGAAGTAGTACTCTCAGACGCTTAATCCTTATTTTTTGTTGTTTTACATATTTAACAAATTTAAAATAAATTTTGAACTTTCGATTTATCATTTAATTGACCAATAATATATCAATTTGGTTTTTAATAATCCTTACCTGAAGATACACATGACATATAATTACGTTTATATACGGTATTGTTATTAGTGTATCAATGCTACAATGGATTTCCACAGATGCTTGGCAATACAAAGTTTAATATATATATATATATATATATATTCAAAATTTTCAGAGATACATTTAAGTAATTCTTTGTTTATATATTTAAGACACCTCAATCACGTATTAAGTGAGATAATATAAAATTGATGGGGATCAGTGCCCGCATATATCAAATCAAACTGCGCAATACATCACCCATGTCTGATAACCGAATTACCTAAAACATCCACTTTCGTTCCCTAGTAACCGTCAACCCCGGCAATCTTTTTTTCGGTGCCCCCAACTTTTTGGCAGGAACATCCCCAATCTCTTTGTGGATGTTTCCAGAGACGGAGGTTTTTGGCAGATAAAAAGGAACACACACCCTTTTCAGCGTATTTCATAAGCAGATGGTGCAAAGTAAGCATTGCAGCATTGCAGTAAAAAGGGTGGGGGGGGGAGTTACAATCTAGGAAGCTTTTTTTCGACTACTTGTCATAGCTGCATCCTGGAGAAATTATCTCGCTCCTTCTTGTCAGCTTAAAAATGCGTCCTCTTCCCTCACTATGGTGTTCGTGCTAGACGCCCGAATTAAGCCTACAAAATCGCCAACAAATTGATGGACATATTTGAGTCTGGCTCATAAGTGGCGTTACTTTTTCACATAGCGATATGTGTTGTTGCAAAATGCATTGGAGGGATTTTAATTAATTACTGAAACTTGATGGAAATTCTGCACGATCTGGAAGACACATCAAAGAAAATAACTGATTAAAATTGACATAGATTGAAACATAGAAGCAAAACCAAACTGCCTATATGTTTTTCTTTTCTTTTACACATTGATATGTGTTTATCGAAAAAATGCATGGGGGAAATTTTAATTAATTACTGAAATTTGATGAAATCCTGCTTGGAATGCTATATTTGGAAGGCACATCAGAAAGTCACTGATTAAAATTGACATAGATTTGAAACATAAAAGCAAGAAAAACTGTCTTCATATATGAAAGATTAATTAACAACAATTTTCAATCCAATTTGATAAGCAGTTTTTAGCTTACTCATAAATGGTATTTTTCTATTTTACATAGCAATATGTGTTTATTACAAAATGCATTGGGGGAATTTTCTACTAAAATACTAAAATTTGATGAAAATCCTGCATGAAATGCTTATATCTTTAAGGCACATCAGAAAGTGACTGATTAAAATTGACATATAATGAAATATAAAACCAAAACAAAACTGCCTACATATATGAAAGATTAATCAACAATTTTTAACAATTCAATACGCAGTTTTATCCTATTCATAAAAATGGTATCATTTGTTTTCTTTTTCTTTTAAATAGCGATATATGTGGGGGGATATTAATTAATTACTGAACCCTGATGTAAATCCTGCATGAAATGCTAAGAATCAATATTTTGTCTGGAAGGCTCATCAGAATATGGCTGATTAAAATTGACATCGACTGAAAAATAAAAGCAAAGAAAGCAAAACTACCTTCAAGTATGAAAGATTAATGAACAATTTTCAATCCAATTCATTATACAATTTTAATACTATATTATAAGTGGTGTTATTTGTTTTTCTTTTATATAACGATATGTGTTCATAGCAAAATGCATGAGGAAGATTTTAATTAATTGTTGAAACTTGATGGAAATCTTGTATGAAATGCTATGACTCAATATTATATCTGGATGGCACATCAACAATTGACTGATTAAAATTGTCATTGATTGAAATATAAAAGCAAAATAGCCAACGGCCATACCATGCTGAATATACCGGTTCTCGTTAGATCACCGAAGTCAAGCATCATTGGGCGCGGTCGAGTACGGGTGGGTGACCACCTGGGAACACCGCGTGCCGTTGAGAACATACCCAAATTTGGGACCTGAATGGCCGAGTGTCTAGCGCTCTGCCGCTCGGTGCCACACAGGTTTCGAGTTCGAATCCCGGCGGTGCTATGGATTTTTGTAGTGCTTCCGGAATCCACTTTAAGCCGTATGTCCCGGTCTCCTATGACTGTAAGAGCGTCACGGAGCCAAAGTCAGACTTCTACCTACGGGTGCTCCATCACAACAGAAGCACGTATGGGCTCGTGGGCTTGGCCAGCCAAGTGGGATAAGAAACAACAACAAACAACATAAAAGCAAAATAAAACTGTCGTCCTATATAAAGATTAAATCAACCATCTTCAATTCAAGCAATTATTACTCAGTTTTTGTCTATTTATAAGGGATGCTATATTTTTTTATAGCGATATGTGTTTTAATGCCAAAATGCAAGAGATTTTAAAATAAATTATTGTAACTTGATGATAGAAATATGCTTAAAGGCGAACAATCAATATTTTATCTGGAAGCACATCAGGGAAGTCACTGATTAAAATTGGCGTAGATTGAAACATAACAGCAAAACCAAACCGTCTTCATACATGAAGATTAATCCAGCAGTTTTCACTTAAATTCGTATTAATAAGTGATGTTGTTTTTCTTTTACATAGTGATATGTGTTTATTGCAAAATTCATGGGGGAGAATTTAATTAATTAATAAACTTGATGGAAATCCTGCATGAAATGAATACATATGAATAGTATTATTCATATAAATTATAGTATATAGTATTAATAGTATTATATCTGAAAGGCCCATCAGAAAATAATTAAAATTGGCATATATTGAAACTTAAAAGCAAACAAATGCCTTGATATATGAAAGATTAATGAACAGTTTTCAATTCAAATTGATTATTAGTGTTGAGCCTATATCATAGGTGGTAATATATTTTTTTCTTCACATAAAATTGTTTGTCCCAAAATACATGGGTTGGATTTTGATTAATTCATTATACTTGTAAATGCTAAGAAAAGAAAAATAATCAGTATTTAGCTAAAAACATATCGTAAAAAACGTAATTTAAGTATACTGAAATAAAAAAACAAAACAAAACTATTGAAAAATTAATTAAATTTTTATTTCTTCATCAAAATCTTGATTAACTGAGATTAATGTATCTTTAACTAAAAGTTATAAAGAATATCCCTCATGAAATAAGAAAAAAATGAAAAATTATTTGCAATGCCTAGAAAATTTTATTAAAATGAATGATTATTTAGAACTAGCAGAGGAATATAGCAGTACACTTTTTATTTAATGTCATCGTTTACTAATATATCAGATATCAGTAGATTCAGAAAATTATACTACAACCACCAGAAAAGTATAGGTAAATAGATTTACTAAAACTCTTATAATCAAGTAACGTCCATTAATATGTTATTCAAAGGGAATATTGCGCATAGCTTTATTACATAAGCTCTTTGCATAAGTGCGTAGCATATTATATTGACGAAATAACACATTATAAAGAAAACTAGTCCAAATTTCCTATGGTATGGTATGGGTTCATGATTGGTTATTGTATGGTATTGGTTCATGGTTGACTATTGTATGGTACTGGTTTATGTTGGGTATTGCTAGTAGCAAATCATTATATGTTTCAATGAATTAATCTAATTTCTTAAATTAAAGTTTAATTATTTTTACATTTTCCCTTTTATCTTTAACATATTTTTATTTAACTACTTGTTTTCGAATCACAAACTTGTACTAGAACTACGGATTGGTTTGATTTATCGCTCTATGGTCATTTGTGCTCACTTTAGGCTACTTAAACCGGGACCTACAGCTTAAGTGCATTCGAACCTCTACCAAACATCCATGCCACTGCCAGGTAGTGAATCTGTGGTACCAAAAGCTAGAGCTCTAGCCAATTGGCCATCAGGCAGAACAATTGAACTACGGATTGGATCAATGTTGAATGTGCAGTGTACTGACATCTGATATACTCATTGAATGATAACAGCGGTTTGTTTCACGCATTGAAGGCTAACGAGGGCAATGTAACGATATACTCATTGAATGGTAACAGCGGTTTGTTTCGCATTGAAGGTAACGAAGACGTCTAAAGAGGTCTTAATCCATACTATACTACTGTGTCCAAAAAGTACGGTATTACTATATTACAAAAGTGAGTTTTCAATGTTTTCTTTTTAGGTTGTTGGCAATGTCCTTGATATCTGTGTGAAATTTGACGTCAAAATATACATTAGTGCTTGGTTTGAGATGCTACAACTGAATCCGGCGATGTCTCTTCAATCGACTCACACCGGTGTCCCCGAAGTGGACTTTTTTGAGTTTAGGGAATAGCCAGAAGTAGCAAGATGCTAAATTAGGTCACGAAGAATCAATGCAGTGTGAGCTGGCGCATTCAGTGTTTTCGGTACCAATCAAGATTTGACGTGTTTGAGGCCCAAAGCATCTTTTAAAATGGAATTTTGAAATTCCAATATCTTCAACAAGGCCTCTAATTGTAAATCGACGGTTTGCAAGCACCAAATTTTTAATTTTTTGGACGTGAGCTTCGTCGGTTGAGATTGCTCGCGCGCTGCCTTCTTGAACTGTTTATGCCATTTCTAAACATTTCTTTCCGATATAGGAATGCGCACCGAATGCCTTCTTGCAACATTCTATATGTTTCCGCGAACAAAGTTTAATGCAAGTTCTTGCTCAATTAAATCAGACATTTCAAAAATCGCCGGAATCAGTTTTAACATCTCAAATCAAGCGTAACTCAAACACTAATGAAACACTTTTTGATGTAAAATTTCACACAGACGTCAAGGACAGTGCCAACAACCTAAAAAGAAAGAAAAAAATTGAAATAGCATATTCCCGAACATTTAAATTGAAAACTGATCTTACTTTTGGGACACAGTAGTAAGGAAGAATTGAATTCTCACGACAATGAATAGACAGACTTGATGAATGACAACTAGTACCACGATGACTTACGAACTTTTTACCAAAGGCCCAAATAATGAACCTCATTTAGTATTTCATATGCAAAAATCGTTTAGACCCATCTACTATTGTTTCAAGGTAATTATTAGCAAGTGAAACAGGTGTAAATATAGATGTTTGAGATAATGTCTCATGAGTATGTGTGAGAATAACAATCTTACACATTGTAGTTGTAAAAATTGTTACGCTAGGTTGTACAACTGACGCACTAAAGTAAGTGTATCTACTTTAAACTTTCTCATTTGTTAATGTAATTTACCTTAAATTTACCAAGGGAAGGAGGAAGGAAACGTGCTAGGAAATTTTATTACAATGATTAAAATGTAAAGCAATTGTTATGAAACTTTTTTTATAATATTCTGTTTCAAAGATCAAATTTTTAGATTTAAAAATTTAATTGGTATTGAAAGATTTATGTTTTTTAAGAGGCTCTCACACTTTGAGACACATCTCCATTGACTGGAGGAACTGAAAGAGAACATCGAAATATTTTCTACAGATGAATCTAACCCAAATAAAACTATAAAAATAAACATTCAAATATATAATTCAACTGAAAATGCTTTTATGATTTTAAATTGTAATTGCCCTCAATTTTTAATAATTTTTGCCGAGTGGCTAGCGCTCTGGCGCTCGGTCCAACAGGTTTTCGGGTTCGAGTTCCGGTGGTACAATGAATGTTGGTAGTGGTTCGAATACACTGAACAGTAGACGCTAGTCTAATAGATCGTAGAGCGTTGCGGGGGTAGTGTTACTCCCGTTCGTAGCATATCTTCAAGCTACACGTGCCCCCAGGGTTGCTAAATGAGTGACAACGACACAGTCCTTGCTTATGGCATAAAGATTAACTGTTTCTATATTGCCAGCTGCATTAGAACCCCAACAACATATTTTATGGTTTTAATAAATGCAGTCCAAAAAAAGCATTTAATGTCTACTTCATTTCTTTCTAGAAGTTAGAGTATCTTTCCGTTTTATAATAGCAATGCCAGGGGGCCTGATGGCGGGAGTGACTAACATTCTGGCATTCAGCGCCATAGGTTTCGGATACGAGTTCCGGCGGTGTCATGGATGTTTGCAATAGTTCAGAGTCCCCTTAAACCGTAGGTCCAGGTATAATATGACTGTAGAGCGTTGGGAGTAGTATGCTGACAGCCGTATCCAGTCTACAACCCTGCCAATAAGCAGACTGTCTTGATCAATGTGGGAGGCTGTTGTACCAATGAAGATCGGTGTGGTTTACTGCCCTATGGTCATTTTTTTTCACACTTTAAGCTAATTAGACTGGAACCTGCAGTTTAACGTGGATTTCAAACCACTAAGAAACATCCAGGCCACCGCCAGGATTTGAACCTGAAATCTGTAGCACCAAAGGCCAGAGTGCTAGCCAATCGAACAAGGCCGCGCTAATGAAAAAAAGAAAAATACTATATAATTTAGAGTTTCGACACTTTTCATAATAATGCTCTTATTAGAGATTTATACTGCTGTTTCTACGAAATCAAAATTCAAAACAACTAATTTTATAGATTTTAGATAAAACCTTTATAATACTACATCAT